CTCACCCACCCCTATCCCCACCCCCACAGTCAGGAGGCAGAGGCATGCTGGTGAATTCTAGGACACACACACACACACACACACACACACGTGTCCCAGGCATGTTAGCCAATCCTAGTAGTCATGGGCCCTCTACCCTGTAGGGTGGTGAATATGAGGAAGAAACAATCCGCTTTGGACTGGAAGTGCTCTGCATAGACAGCTGGGCTCGCCACCGCATCTACACAGCCTTCAAGGATGTGTTGGGCTCAGGCATGCACTATCACCTCCAGGTGAGGGGGACTTACCCGGAGGTCTACCCAGCTTAACTGCTTCAGACTGCCCTTAGCTAATTGTCTTATCTTCAGAACAACGAGCTTCTCCGTGACATCTTTGGCCTGGGCCCTGTGCTGGTGCTGGATGCCGCTACCCTGAAGGCCTGCAAGATCTCACGTTTTGAAAAGGTTTGCATCTTGGGCACCTTTATCTTGCATCCTGTAACCTGGAGGCCTCGAGCTGTGAGTGGGCTCCGGGAGGAGCCTGAGCTTTCCAGTTCACCAGGCTCCCTGGTTTGCCTCTTCCACAGCACCTGTACAATGCTGCCGCCTTCAAAGCTCGGACCAAGGCCCGGAGTCGTGCGAGGGACAAGCGGGCAGATGTCTTGTGAAGCTGACTGGCCAATGAGAAGGCTACTCATACCCTTACCATATTTTTAACAGAAGACAGTGCAAGAACTGGTCCCCGCCAGCAATTGTCACTTTATTTTTTTTTTTTAATGATGAAACCAAAAATAGACAAATGTGGGAGGGCCATGGGATCAGGACACTTAAGACTCTGGCCCTTTGTGTCTGCACTCAGCCCTGTGGCTATGGCCTCTGTCCTGTCTCAGGTGAAACCAAATGCGAGCTGGTCCCAGAGCTGAGGGGCAGGTGAGAAAGGACTACCCCTTTTCTTTTTTAGATCTTGCCCCCTAGGGCCACTTCCTTTGGGGGGTCTGGCACCTGTCCACCATGGTATAGGGTAGGCAAAGCTGCCTAGAATGGATGTGTGCTGATTTTTAAAAATAAGAGAGAATTAAACAGTACTTATTCCCCATGACTTTTATCCTGAGTCTTTTACTTGCCTTCCCTCTCATCTACCACCCTCGGCTTGGCCCCAGCTAGATCTCAATTTCACCTTTGTTCTCCAAGGCAGTCTTTGCCAGTGTGGTCCCCCACCCCCAACTCAGCCTAGCTTGTTTGAGGGCTGAGACTGGACCCCCCACTAGGAGACCTGGCAGAGTGGGTGGCTGAGCAGGAACAGCTATTTCTAGACTTCTGAATCTCCTATCTGGGGGTGGCCAGAGGGTGCTGACAGGCCATAGGAGGAGCCACGAGGAGGCTGGTGCCCCATCCTCTGACCTTTGGCTATCCAAAGCAGGGCCTTGGCACCAGAGGGCTTGGTCAGGCCTAGCCTGAAGAGGTCAAGAGAGACAGGCAGCTGTTGAGTCACATCAGGCTCTTGTACAAAAATCTCACCAAGGAAGTAGTGTAGGTGTAGCCGTCGACGGGAGAACAGAGACTGCCAAAGGTCCCTTTATCCCCTCACACGCCTCACACGGCATCTCAGCTGGGTGCCCGAGCTTCAGTGGAGTTGAGTCTCCTTAGCTGGCTGAGGCTAGCCAGGCGCAATTTGAGCAGAGTCTCCTCTTGTGTGCGCAGTGTGTGTGCCAAGACCCTCAGGGATTCACTCTGCAGCACTGGGGATGGGAAGACATTTGTGGGACCTTGTTAGACTGCATGCCATTTCGGATCTCCAGCCAGCCCAGCACCAAGGGTTAACCGCCCAGTGACCCGGGCCCCACCCTTTATTGCTGCATTTGCAGGTGCCCTAGGTTCCCTTCCTGTCCCTACCACTTAGGTAGACAGCCAGGATGGCTAGTGCCAGGCAGGTGAATACCAGCAGTGCCAATAGCAGTAGAAACCCCCCACGACCACACATGGGGCTGCAGCCAGCTTGGGTGCACAGTGATGGCGGCAGGACACCCAGAAGCTCTTCCCATGTCTGTGCCTCTTCAGCCAGATAGGGCTGTAGCGAACCTGCAGGGAGGGTGGTTCGTCAGGAAGGTGGTACCCACAGCATCCTTCCCCACATCCTTTGCACCCTTACCTCCGCTGTGAAGCTCACTGATGGATTCCACTCGGTGCAGATGCACCTCCTGCACATGGTTAGGAGCCAGTGTTCCCCTGCTTCTCTGGTTCTGCATTGGCAACACGGTGTCTATAGGGGCAGTGGGACTGATTTGAGCAAACAAGTCACTCCTTACCTTGTGGGTAGGTAAGCCCAGGCTGCAGGAAGGAACTTGGGATATATGGGAACTACACCAGTGGCATTTGGTTACAAATTCCTTACAGTTTCAGGAATGACTCTTCGTTTGGATCCAGAGTTCTAAAGGCCTAGTCTGTGTGCATAGGGGCTCTTGACATGCTCCCATGTTCACATTCAGGCATTCCTCCGCCTGCTTATTGCTAGCAAACAGTTCATCAACCTAAGCCCACAGCAATAGTGAGTTTGCCACCTGGCCTGACCTTACAACATGGTGCCTACTGCTAGGCAAAGGCAACTGCATTCTGGCAGTTCCTCCTGGCTTGGTTCTGCCTTCCTACACACAATTATTCAGCCGCTCTTACTGGAGCCCTGCTGTTTTCACTCAACAGCACCGCAGGAGTCTCTTTTTTTCTTAACAGTTTCATATAACTTTGAGGACTCCTTCCGGCCTCCCTCTGAGGCTATCTGGGCATTTAGGTTGTTTCCAATTCCCTTTGGAAATTAACCCCCAGGACATCAATCATTAAATGTGAAGGTTTTTCCACTTTGCTGGAAGTTATTGAGGACAATTCTCAGAAGTGGAATCACTGGGCCTGAGAACAGACTTTAAATCTATCATCAGAACTGTCTTCTAAAAGGCCTGTTCGGAGCCCAGCAGTACAGCATCCCCACCATTAGACATCCCACTGTAAAAAAAAAAAATGTATTTGTGTGCACACGGAAGTCAGAGGTCTCAGTGACCTGGCACAGGAACTCAACAGGCTCACTTAACCACAGAGCCCCAGGAACTCAATGTCTCCACCTCACCAGACCTGGGATGAGAAGTGTGTGTACCCCTACTTAACCTGCAGTCCGCCTCCCAAACATAGGGACTAACAGACAGCATCTGATGTTTGCTTGTGAGCATGTCAAGGGCAGCTTCAAGCACATCACGAGCCCCAGAGAAATAAGCTCGGGTCCTTCATGCTTGCAAGGCAAGCTTTTTACAGAGCTAAACCAGACGCTGTATGCACAGACCTTTACATATATTTGCTAGCCTGAGAGACGAGAAACAACTTGATTGTTGCCTAGGGAGCCTGACTAATGTGTGTAATTACCCATTCATGGGTTCTGCCCATTTAGTCACTGATTCTTTATCGTTCCTTATGGTTATCTTTATTTCAGATTTTGTTTTGTTTTGAGATAGTGTCTCACTATGTGACCTTTGCTGGCCTGGAACTCACTGTGTAGCCTAAAACTAGGATGGGCTTAACCTCAAAATTCTCTTGCCTCAGCCTACCCATTAGTGGTATTACATGTGGTTATGTGTTAGCAGTGTGTGTGTAGTGCATACCCACGTGTATTTAGACACTGTGTATATGTGTAGAGAACAGAGGAGGACTTTGGGTGTCCTCTGCCTTTTTCCTTTGACACAGGGTCTCCTCATGAGGCTGGAAATCAGGTTGTTTGGGGTTTTTTGATAAGGGTGGCTGGCAACCAGAAAGCGCCAGTGATCCTCCGGCCTCTGCTTCCCAATATACACAGCACTGGGGTTATAAGGCACACAAGATCACACCTAGCTGGGTACTGGGATCCAAACTCTCATTTTTTGGTTTTGTTTTTTAAGACAGGGTGTCTCTGTCTCACTCTGTAGACCAGGCTGGCCTCGAACTCACAGAGACCCACCTGCCTCTGTCTTCAGAGTGCTGGGATTAAAGGCCTCACCACCACAAACTCCGATCTTCATGGTTATGCAGCAAGTGCTTTTAATCACTGAGCCATCTCTCACCTCACCCCCCCATTTTTTAATTTTATTTTATTTTATTTTTTTTTTTGTGATAGGTTCAGAAAGTTCCCAGACTGGTCTTGAGTTCCTGGTTAACTCAAGTTACCTTTCTGCCTCAGCCTTCCAATTGCTATCAATGTCTCTCTGACTTCTAAATAACTATAACTCTGCTTTCCTCTGGCATTATTTGACTGGATATGTATTTTTGAAACAGTCTCACTACGTGGCTAGCCTAGAACTCATTATGCAGACCACGCTGGCCTTGATCTCACAGAGATTCTCCTGCCTCTGCCTCCCAAGTGTGCACCTCCAAGGCCTTCTATTGGATTTGGTTGCTTTAGTTCTGATTCCACAAGCGCTCCCGATGCCTGCAGAGGGATAGGTAGCGGTGTGCCAGAGTGCGGGGCAAGGACTGCACTGGGCCCTCTAATGTGCTTGAAGCTGCCCCTTGACAGGCTCACAAGCAATTCAAACAAAAGCAGATGCTGTCAGTCCTCAAGCCTGGCTGACGGACTGAGGTCACATTAAATACCCTCTGCACTTCACTAATTCTCCCATACCTTATATTTGGGCATATTTTATTTGCTATAGACAAAAACACATGGTAGATGTTACAGTTAAGTCATTGCCGCCCCCCACCCATAAAAGATACACACACACACACCCCTTAGTAGAGGGCAGGCCCTTTCTCTGGTTAGATCATGCCAGAGGCATGTCTACTTCCCAGTCCCTGGGCCAGACGTTGAAATGCTTCCTGGAACCGCGTCGCACCCCAACCCCAGCCTCTTTGCTGAAGGAAGAGCTAAATTGCTTGGCAGCTCCCCAGATGCCCACACCCACTTGGGTAGAGTTGTCCCATTCTTAGGTAGAAAGCTGTGGTCCCTCTCCCTGGCCCATAGCAAGGAAAACTGAGGCAGGACCTGCAAAAGGGAGTTCTAAGTATGGCAGGTCCATTCTTTGTCTGTGCATAGGGATTGGTGTCTAGAACAGGGATATGAAAAGACTACTCAAGGCTGTGAGGTCTCTCCATGAGCCATAGGGCCATAAAGCTTTGTCCTCCCCCATGGCTACCCTCTCCTACCTTCTTGGGTCTCCTCAGGCATGGCAGTTGATACGTATAGTCAGGGGCCAGATGAGAGTGACCAGTAGCAGAACTGGACAAACATAGCAGTGGCTCCTTTAGGATCCTGGGAAAGGTCTGGCTGCCTCCCAACCTGGTCTTAAAATAGGTCTGAGCTCACTTCCCTGGGCTATATTTAGAGGGGGCATCTCCAAGCCGTGAAAAGGGGCAGAGTGACCCAGATGGACTGACCTAGACTACCTACTCGGTGATAGGGCACAACTAAGAGCTAGCACATGGGCCCAGGGAACTTCTCTGAAAGCCATAGCAACTCTATACACACATAGGCCTTGGGGTCCCCATCCCGGTCAGCAGGCAGCATATGGCATGTATGACAGGAAAGAAACCCTGCTCATCTCCCCTCAGCCATCCCTCACCCCCATAGACCCTGCACCCACAGCCCAGCCATTTCCTTCCAGCAAATGTGAGATGAGCGTGTGACCACCTAGCAGCAGATATTGGGGGTGGTGGACAACTGGAGCACAACACCATAAGGATCTGGCAGCCCCCAAGTGGACACTCATGCTGGCTGGTGGACAGACTGGGATTAAAAGCTGGTATTTCTAGTATTAAGCTGTAGCCTTATGTAAAGAGGACCTTGAGAGTGGCCTCTGTTTTCCCATCTGTAAAACAGGAGCAAGGAGCCAATTGTACTGAGAATAAAAATGCAGAGACATGACTAATGTACTTAGCACAGAGTAGTCTTGGTCCTCCCTCCCCCTCCTCTCCACAAGGGCTTAACAGGCCACGTGAAGGCATGTGAGGATGGACGCTCAGCGACATTGCACACTCTTGAAGAGCTGGTCCAGTCTCCAGGCCTTAGTCAGTTTGTGAACTCTGTTCTGCTTCTTCTGGACGGTGCACAGCAAGACTGTGGGAAGGGTCTACCTTCCAAAACATCCTGAGTCCATCATGTGGCACCCATATTCGCCTCCTTGTCTTCCTCAGACTTGGCGGGCTTGTTCCCTGCTCCAAGGCTTTGCACTGACTGGTTCTTCCATTCTGGAATGCTCTGCCTCCAGACATCTGTGACTGGTTCCAACTGGTTCCCTCTTATCTTTCGGCTTGTATCAACCCTTCAAGTGAGTTCTGCACACATTCTTGCCCACAACATGCAGTACTGTTTGTTTGTTTTTACTTCAGAGAGCTTTGCCCTGCCATTACTAGCTGCAGGATGCGCTGTGCATGTCAGCCCCCCAGAGGCTCACTGGAGCCAGCTGGGTCATCTAATACCACTTCCAATCTTCACTACAGCAATCTTTTTTTTCCCCCAAGACAGGGTTTCTCTGTAGCTTTGGAGCCTGTCCAGGCTAACCTCGAACTCACAGAGATCCACCCGCCTCTGCCTCCTTTGTGCTGGGGTTTAAGGTGAGTGCCACCCACCGACAAGCAGAATGGCAATCTTGAATGAGAAAAATTCAGGATTTAAGACTGCTAGGACAGGGGCTGGAGAGATGGCTCAGAGGTTAAGAGCCCCGACTGCTCTTCCTGAGTTCAATTCCCAGCAACCACATGGTGGCTCACAACCATCCGTTATGAGATCTGGTGCCTTCTTCTGGTGTGCAGATATACATGGAAGCAGAATGTTGTATACATAATAAATAGGACAATGCCGGAGACTCCCAGCAAGGTCAAGGACCAGCTGTTATCTGCTGGGGCCATTCCAACGTCAGCTGATAATGTGTTTATTGCATTACTTTAGTACAGTTGCCCTGCCTCACTCCAACCCACAGTCTAATCTGCTACAGCTTCCTGCTCACTGCCCAAGAGAATGCTTGCCCCAGGACAGGCACCCAAGACAGCTCTCTGGCCCTGGTCTACACCGGAGCCCCACTTCTCTGTCCCCTCCCTCCAGGCTAGATCCTGAATTGAGCCTGGACCACTCCTCTGAGACTACATTCGCGGGTTATCTTGTTAATAAATAAGCTGGCTCGGCTACCCTTTGGCCAGGGCCGATGTATAAGTTAGGTGTCTCTATTGGTCCAAGGACCTCAGTGTGCCTCAGCCACAACTCATGTCTTCCTGATGTCTGTCTGTCCCCTTTTCTGAGTGTCATATCCAGCCTGGTCCCCCGTGTGATGACAGCCCAGTCACCAGTGTGCTGCACTACGTGGCCCACGCTCAGCACGCAGCTCAGAGGCCTGCATCCGCCTGTTGCGACCCTTACGACGCGATTCTGTTGCCACAGAGGAGGGTCTGGGCTGGGGGTGGCACATTCGCAGGGAGTTTGCCCCTCCACTGCCGCCTGGCTCCACCAGTTGTAGAAAGTCCCGGTACCAGAGCTTGGGGCCTGGTGGTGCAGGGGCAGCTGCCTCCTCAGCCCGCGCCAGTCGTTCGGCCTGTACGGCACTCAGCACGTGCAGCACCAGGCGACGCAGGGGCTGTGAAAAGCCTTGCTCAACTGCGACACACAGATACACGCCAGAGTCCTGGCGCCTCAGACCACGCAGCAGCAGCCCCCGCGAGGTCCGCTCAGCTCGCTCATCAGCCAGCACCTGTGTGTGAGGACAAGCACAGAAACAGAAACAAAGGGTCACTGGGAGCCAAAGCTAGACAAGGAAAATAGGTGGTGGCAGTACTCACTAAAAGGCTAGGTGCAGAGGGATGGGCAGCCTTGGAACGGAGATCGAGGGTCACTCAGATGGGGGAGGAAATAGACTAGAAACCTCAACACATGGGTGGGTTGAGGGCCCTCTCCTTCCAGATGGTGGAGGGTAGGCCAGGACTCTAGCTGGACACAGTGGGACATCACTGATGGACTGTGGCGTTCAGCTAAGGACGGAACAGGATGGGACCTATATGGAGCCTGACTCTGTAGCCTCACTGAACTGGACTTCTATGGGGTACAAGCCAAAGGCCTCCTTAGGCAGTCAGGCCTAGTTAGGAAGGGTGGAGGGAGGCACACCTGGGTGTGAGCCACCTCCCCTGCACGATGGAAGGTCCACTCCACATGTGCCTGTAGCGAGCGAGGCTCACACTCCAGAAAGGCGCTGCCACTCTCCACACCTAAGACCTTCCGCTCCAACAGCGCAGCGTGAGAGGAATCTTGAGACAAGAAGGTAAAATTCAGACAAGGTAGGGCTGGGTGTGGCAATTTCAAGGCCTGAGGGTAGGAGCTGATGGGGTACTCACCCCCAGAGCACAGAGTGCTGGGGTCACCATTCCTTACGTCTTGCCTCCTGAATCTCCTGAAGGAGACATTAAAACCTGTGAGCCCTTCTCTGCTGGTGTCAGAGCAGCAAGAGACTCCCTCCCAGTGGCCCAATCCAGGCTCCAAGTCAGCCCACCTCTTGGCGGTAGGCTGGAAGCGTGTGCAGGTGGATCCATCCCAAGCACAGTAAGGGTCACGGGCCAGGCAGCATTCTGCACAGGCGCGGCCTAGGGCAGTGCAGCGATGCAATGCAATCTGGGCCACCCCACTCGGTGATCCTATGTAGAGCTGGTGCTAGAGGGCATAAGAGTCTCCAGTCTGATTGAAGACAGCCTTTACCTGGCTCCCTTCAGTCAGATAGCCTTTCCCCACTTGTCAGATGGGAACACTGAGGTCTCATTGTCTAGCAAAGCAGAAGCTATACCTGAACTCTGGGCTGTGAAAACTAAGAAGCAAGACAGCTGGGGTGCTGGAGGCCCAAGTTCAGGTCATCCTGAGTTCTGTTACTCACCCTTTTGGAGGAGATTTGCATGCTGGTGACAGTGGCAGAGTCCTGAAAGGGAGGCAGGACATGGGGTCAATGCTTAGTGAATTGGGGTGATGAGTCCTAGGGTGACTGGGGATGAACCCTCACCTCAAACACCTGCAGCTCTTCAAGGAGAAGTCCCTCAGAGTTAGGTCGGCTGCCCTTGGGGACTGAGATCACTTTCAGCACTGTGCCCACGTCTGTAGAAATGAGAAGACAGAGTGACTTGCTTTTCCCTGACAAGCCAAGTGCTCGACCACATGGGTGTTGTGAATATTAGTTTAACTGGACTAAGATGTGTTACATTTGTTTATGCTTGGGAATATTACTTCAACTGTATAAAGGTGTTACATTTGTTTCTTCCGCTGCCTTTGTTAATGATGCAAGGATATGTTACATTTGTTTATTCTGCATTTGTTTCATTGTACACAGATGTGTTGCTGTCACCTAGCCTGCCTAAGGCACCTGATTAGTCTAATTAAAAGTGGAATGGCTTCGGGGCTTTGATGGTGCACGCCTTCAATCCCAGCACTCGGAAGGCAGAGGCAGGCGGATCTCTGTGAGTTCGAGGCCAGCGTGATCTCCAGAGCGAGTGCCAGGATAGGCTCCAAAGCTACATTGAGAAACCCTGTCTCAAAAAACAAACAAACAAAAAAAGCAGAATGGCTAACAGCTAGGCAGGAGAGGGATAGGTGAGGCTGGCAGGCAGAGAGAATGAATAGAAGAACAAGAGAAGAGAGAATGAGGGAGGAAGAGAAGAAGACACCAGCCAGTGGACACACAGAAAAAGGCAAAAAGCCCGGAGGCCAAATGTAGATGGAGAGAAACAGGTTAATTTAAATCAAATGAGCTAGCCAGAAAGGAGCCTAATCTAGGCTGAACATCCAAACTAATAATAGGTCTCCCTGTCATGATTTGGGAGCTCATTGGTGGCCTAAAAGAAAAGGCTTGGTACACGTATGTACACGTGTGTCTGTGCACCTTCACCGTGGTCAAATCACAAAAAAGGGAGAATTGTAGGTTGGAGCAACTAGGGCCATAGCCCAGACAAAGATGTAGGTATTAGACTAACCAGGGACAGCGTCTGCCTCCAGGTCAAGGAACCTGGAGGGGGCTCTATGTCCTATGGGCTCCTGTGATGAGACCCTGACCTGTACCAATGAAGAGAACATCGTAGTGGCCATCAGCAGCTGCTACGCGGTCTGCAGCGATTTGCGTGAAGGTGTACCCAGCTCCCACTTGGAGGAAGAGAGGGCGCCCCCCCACAGGCAGGACTGAGTTGTACATGAGAGGGTGGTTCCGAGCAAACTGGATAACATCATCTGGGAAGTCCTTGGTGGAACTGAAGGTACCAAAGGTCTTGCTGGGGCACTAGGAAAGGCAAGGCACGTCAGGCAGAGACATACACACAGATTTGGTGCTCAGCCCCTCCATTCAAAGGCTCTGGGGACATGAAATGTGGAAAGGGACAAGGGCCTTGAGTGTTTGGGCCTTTCCCAGGTGAACCTTAGGCTGAGGGGGCACATGGTCTCACTCTGCAGTCTGTCTTTTGATGTTGACATTTCCTCACCCATACCAAAAGGAAGAAATCAGACCCCTCCCCCAACAAAACCCCCAGGCCAAAGTCACATTCTCCACCCTTGAGACTTTGAAGCTGATTGTTGCAAGCAGTGCCTAGCAACGCACCATGCCAGGGCGTGGGTAGGGGACACGACCCTGGTAAGACACCCACTGATGTGCAGGGCCCTCCTTGTGAGCAAACGGTCCCAAGAAGGCTCGGCGCACATCATTCATGCTGTACACGCAGACAGCAGAGCCCTGGAAGATGGCACTGCAGGCAATGAAGAGAGAAAAGTGAGGACCCCCAGCAAGCCAAGCTGCCTACTCAAGGGAGCTTCCACTTCCTGCCCCTTACCTGGAGGTTGAGAAGACAGCATAAAGAAGTGGTGTCTGGCGGTCCCGGGAGGACAAAAGAAACACGTCCTCTGCAGGGAAGGGAGAGGTTGGTAGGGCAGTACACACTCCCCAGGCTCCTGGACTCTGCACCTTTGACACCTCCCCTCATGCCATCCCTCAATTAAGACACTCACGGAGTTGGTCAAAATGGGTGTCACCCTCAACTCCAGGTACTGAGCATACCAGCCGCGCCTTCAGAAATGTGGTCCATTTGTTGACCAAGCTGCGCTGGCCACCCAGGTCATTCTGCTCACAGGATCAGAAGGGGTGAGAACAAGACCAGAGCCCGCAAAGAGTCAGGGGCAAAGGTAGCCAGGGAGTCTCCTTACCCTGCAGATCTGGCCAACACGGGACACAGTCATGCGTCCCGTTGCTGGTGCTGCTTCCACTGCAGACTCACGGAAGAAGAAATAGATTTTGTCGTCATCAGGGTTCTCACTCTCTGGAATCCAAAAGACCTTGACAAACTTGGGTTCTAGACAAAATAAGAGGCATGGTATCTCAGTGGGTCCCAGTCCTGGCCCCAACATTTTACCCCTATGATCAGCATCTGCAAGGCAAGAAGCAGCCATGAGAGGGCAGTAGAGACCATAGAAACAAGCACGAGCAGGCTGCCCTGCTCCCCTTTGCAGGGCTTCTGACCACGCCACACTTCCTTATATGTGCCAGGAAAAAAGGGAGATGGAGTATCTGTTTTCACCTTCATTCATAAATCTCCCTCCCCAGAAGATCAAATGCTCCCTGTTCCTCCTTCAGTTTCTCTACTATCCTGCAGTAAAGGACCCCAGCCCTTGAGAGTCTAGGTTTCCTATAGGTTCTAGTTCCATGGGTCTGTTTCTTTGCTGACTCTTGTCTCAGGGCCTTTGTACTAGTCATTCCCCTTACCTGGAATGCTCTCCCAAGTCTGTTGGCTGGTTTTCTTGTCTTCTGG